TGTCCTACATATGAACACATCTTACCACGTCATTACCATTAATGTCACTCTGTCCTACATCTGAACACATCTTACCACGTCATTACCGTTAATGTCACTCTGTCCTACATATGAACACATCTTACCACGTCATTACCATTAATGTCACTCTGTCCTACATCTGAACACATCTTACCACGTCATTACCGTTAATGTCACTCTGTCCTACATCTGAACACATCTTACCACGTCATTACCATTAATGTCACTCTGTCCTACATCTGAACACATCTTACCACGTCATTATTGTTAATGTCACTGTCCTACATCTGAACAAATCTTACCATGTCATTACCGTCAATGGCACTCTGTCCTACATCTGAACACATCTTACCACGTCATTACCGTCAATGTCCTACATCTGAACACATCTTACCATGTCATTACCGTCAATGTCATTCTGTCCTACATCTGAACACATCTTACCACATCATTACCGTCAATGTCATACATCTGAACACATCTTACCACGTCGTTACCGTCGATGTCCTACATCTGAACACATCTTTATGGTCTGACTGTTACGTACCCTTCCCAAAAGTTGTCTCTATTGGCACAAAACACCAAACAATATTAAAATATAGTACTGCTATGCAACGTTCCATGACAGCTTTATATATTTGCTGTAGTTTTCTCGCGACATGCACCACCAATTACTAAGCAAACACTTGGAGGAGAAAAGTGTACTTAAAAAAAAAACATTCCATTTTAGAAACGATATATAATTGACTTTCACATCATCAATAATAATAAAAAACATACCACAAAACTACAATTAGTACTACTACTAATAATAATGAGAGAGTTAATCGTTCTTATAAATCCATCTAAGATGTAATAATAACAGAAACTACAGCTCTCTTAATGTTCAGAAACATCATAACAATTCTAAGATGTAACAAACCAACTTTAGAAATGACACTCCTTCAAGTTACTATTTGAACTGTATATATATATATATAAATCATTTAATAAAAACATATTTTAAAATTAGCAACAATAAAATTCTTTAAACAACAAAGTATTTTCAATACATTTTTTACAAACATACTCACTTGGCCCACAACATTGGATTTTCAGCCTGCTTTTTGGCAACCTAAATAAAAAAAAATCTGGTTTAGTTAATTGGTTCAGTTTGAGACTTAAAAAATATATATTTTTTTCTTTACTACAGTTCTTAAGTTATGTGGTTAAGTTATAATTTCTTCCCACAATTACGTAAGTCATAGCACACTGTGCACAACTTATTATATTATACGTAAGTTATAGCACACTGTGCACAACTTGTAGACCACCACCTAGAATGATTCAAAACAGAATATTATGTACAGATAATGTTTCTCTAGTTTTCACAGAATTTCATATCATAAATAATTTCCAGAATGCTTTTTGGAGTTTTCCGAAACAGAATTAGTACTCTTTTTATTTCTGTGTTATATGCATTTTCTTCACTTTCATTGTCTTAAATAACAAATAGCATTTATCTTGCATGGTTTTTATATACGACTGAAAATTATTACAAGCACAAATGCCGGCAAATTAAAGTTAATCACAGTGTTATTTGCTAAACGTTTATAATGATTACACAGAGTGCTCAAGAAACTTTTGATATAAAGTTTTTGGTTTAAATACTATCTCTTTTTTGCATTAAAACCTAGTATTTATTTTGTTTACATAAAATTTTAAATATCCAATCAATTCCTAAACATCTCATGTCCTTTCTTGTAAGATACAGATACTTTCGTTATTTTTAATCTTTCCTCGTATACAAATACTTAATTTTTAACTACTTCTGTTGTTCTCTGAATACAATAGAATATCACAATATAATAACATCTAAAGATTCTATTATTATAACTTATCTAATGTATTATCATTACGTCTCCAATGAAAACTGGACAAAAAATGGCTCTGTGTAGTAATTTTTTATCAATTATTAAAAATTTTACAAACAATAACAGAAAGATAGAAAAGATATGAAAAAAATCATTCAGTTTTTTAATTCATTCCTAATAACTGTTATAAAGTGTTTTTTTTTACAAATGTAATAATAGTAAACAAATATAAATTAACTAGCCAACAATATGATAAAAGTACTCACAAACAATTAAAAATGATTCTACAACCATAATAAAATATTACCCAAAATTAGGTCGTTAATAATTTAATCAACGAGAAAAAATACCACACCTACAATTTCACTAAATTACAACAACTAGAAATAATTGGCCTTCAATTACGTCACCACTAACAAAATCATTACAACAACTTATCTCCCAAATTCTTATCTAAGTAAAAAAATTAGTTCAAATACTTGTAATTTTTAATTCAAGTAGACCATAGTTATCTAAGAAATTATTGTTCTGTAGAGGTTTGAGTACATTAAAACAATTTTAAATATGCAAATCTGTTTCTCTAGTTTAATGTTTTGAACATCTGGAAGAGAAGATTGTACTTATAGTGAGTGACCTTCTTTCTCTGTTTAATGTTTTATAAGTAC